TTTGCTGTATACCATATTTTCCGGCGTATAAGACGACCCCCTACTTTTCCTGTTAAAATATAGGGTTTGGGCTATACTCGCCGTATAAGACGACCCCTCTTCCAACACACACCAAATAAAAATTAAAAAACATCAGATTTGATTTCGATATGGTATTTCAGTATGGTATTCCAATGATGGGGTGCTATTCCTCCCACTGACACCACTGATGGGGCACGATTCCTCGCTCTGGCACCACTGATGGGGCACACTGATTCCTCCCCACTGACACCAATGATGGGACACGATTCCTCCCACTGACACCAATGATGGGACACGATTCCTCCCACTGACACCAATGATGGGGCACGATTCCTCCCACTGACACCAATGATGGGGCACGATTCCTCGCTCTGACACCAACACCAATGATGGGGCACGATTCCTCGCTCTGACACCAATGATGGGGCACGATTCGATTCCTCGCTCCTGACACCAATGATGGGGCATGGGGGGGCACGATTCCTCGCTCTGACACCAATGATGGGGCACGATTCCTCGCTCTGACACCAATGATGGGGCACGATTCCTCGCTCTGACACCAATGATGGGGCACGATTCCTCGCTCTGACACCAATGATGGGGCACGATTCCTCGCTCTGACACCAATGATGGGGCACGATTCCTCGATGGGGCTCTGACACCAATGATGGGGCACGATTCCCTCCCACTGACACCAATGATGGGGCACGATTCCCTCCCACTGACACCAATGATGGGGCACGATTCCCTCCCACTGACACCAATGATGGGGCACGATTCCCACTGACACCACTGACTCCCCCAACTGACAATGATGGGGCACGATTCCCTCCACTGACACCAATGATGGGGCACGATTCCCTCCCACTGACACCAATGATGGGGCACGATTCCCTCCCACTGACACCAATGATGGTGTCACATGGTGCAAGGCTATTTTGAATGGACTTGTACCATGTGACCTCTGTGATCATTCACAGATTTCACACGTAGTAAGCAATGATGTCAGAAGTGACACGTCACATGATCACATGGGACCTCGCACAGAGGTCCCGTACAACAATCGGTGTTCCACTTAAACCTTAAAACTGCTTTGGCCACAAGTTGTTTAAAGTAGAATTCCAGCTTCCACCTAACTAGTCTTAAAGCTTTCCTTTCCCTCTCCCAATACGTATGCTTACTGACCTGTAAAAAGATGTATATATTTACCTATTTTCAGACTGCCCCAGTCACATGACCTCCCATGTATCAGCTGACTGCAGGGGAGAGGAGAAATGTGCTTTGACAATGGCTGGTAAAGCCAGGACAAGCTATGTTAATTGTAGGCTTCATTGGTTCATCTGCTGTTGACACTCCCTCCTGTCCTCTGCAGCTGCGTTGGCTGACACAAGGGAGCTGGATCATGTGACTGGACCAGAACCGCCTGAAAATAGGTTAAGTATACACGTCTTTCTTGCACAGATTAGTTAAGCATTGGTGTTGCTGTTTAAAAATTTGTTGTTTAACCACTTCCCGACCGGCCGTTGCATATAAACGGCCGGATGGTGGCAGTGCAGGGTCGGGTGGCTGTTTATAAACGGCCTGCTTGTGCACGCTCCCTGGAGCGCACAGCACCGCGATCCGGTGCCCGCTGTGTCCTCCGGACACAGCGGGCACCGCGATCCGGTGCCCGCTGTGTCCTCCGGACACAGTGAAACACTGATAGTCAGACGGGACCTCTGTACGAGGTCCCGATCGTGATCACTGATTGGCCAATCAGTGATCACATGCAAAGTAGTAAGCAAGATGTCGCTTGTGACGTCATTGCTTACTACGTGTGAAATCTGTGAATGATCACAGAGGTCACGTGGTACAAGGCTATTCACAACAGCCTTGTACCATGTGACAAGCTGTGACCAATCACAGCTCACTCAGTACTTCTCAATGTCTGCAAGAATGCAGCCAGAGAGAAGGAGAAATGATTGCTTTTACATCCTATATGGGTGTAAAAGCAATCAGTGTGAAAAAAAAAAAAAAAATCATCACCCCCCCACAAGTAGTACAGTGTCACCATGGTGACACTGTACTGCTAGGGTGACAGTATGTAAAAAAAAATAAAAAACTAATATAAAAAAATAAAAAAGTTTAAAAATTATAATTTTTGGTTCTAAACTAATTTGGATTTTTTTCTATTTACTAAAAGGATAACGGAATAAATTTTGGCAAAGATTTATGATGAAATATTATTTATTTGCAAAATTTTATAGAAAAACTTTTTTTCAAAATTTTTGGACTTTTCATTTACATAGCAAAAAAAATAAAAATCCCAGCGGTGAATACATACCACCAAAATAAAGCTTTATCTGTCTCAAAAAAATGGTAAAAAATTAATTTGGGTACAGTGTTGCATGACCGTGCAATTGTCATTCAAAGTGTGATAGCGCTGAAAATTGCCCTGGACAGGAAGGGGGTGAAAGTGTGCGGACTGGAAGTGGTTAAAGTAGAGCTAAGCACAAACATCTCATTAAGTTTTACCTTTTTTAATTGCCAAAGTTTTTATAACCTTTTAAATCCATAGTTCTAATCAAGAGGCTACTTGGTTCTTCATTAACCGCTCAAGGACCAACCCACAGCAGATGTACTGCTACAGGGTGGCACCTGTGCGCAGAATCGCGTGTGTGTGTGTGTATATATACACACATTTTGCATTTCCAGGTAGGGGGCGCGCACGCTAGCCCTACCTGCACCGCCATTCGTGGCTGCCAATGTCAATCACTGGGTTCTGTTTACAAACAATGTTTCTCCCTGTCAGGTCGAGCACAGTACAGCCATCCCGATCAGTGTGCTTACAGTGAAGCGCACACACACCCCTAGTAAAACACTCCCAACACTCGCCCCTCACGTTAACCCCTTGCGGCCCAGTACCATTAGTACAGTGTCAATACTTGTTTTTAGCACTGATCACTGTATTGGTGTCACTGGGGTGTCAGTGACACCGTCAGTTCCCCCAGTGTCAGAATGTCCGCAGCAGTCCCCACTAAAAGTAGAAAGAAAAAAAATCCCGGTATCTATACCATCATTTGTAAACTCTGTAACTTTCATGTAAACCAATTAATTTACATGTATTGGGATTTTTTTTTTTTTTAGCAAAGACATGGAGCAAAATACATTTTGGCCTAAATTTGACAATTTGATTTTTTACAATCTTTTACTGGACATGTTTAATAGCAAAAAGTCTAAAATATTATTATTTTTTTTCCTCAAAATTGTTTAAGTATGTAATAATAGGTTATAGCAAAAAAAACCCGCACAGGCGATCAAACACCACCTAAAGAAAGCTCAATTCGTGGGGGGAAAAAATGGACATAAATTTCATTTGGGTGCAGCGTTGCGTGACCGCGCAATTGTCAGTTAAAGTAACGCAGCGCCGTAATGCAAATAATGGCCTGGTCAGGAAGGGGGGTAAATCCTCAGGAGGGCGAGGGGTTCAGGTCCTTGTTTAGGTGTATCAGAGGCTGGCAGCTGCATTTCAGTTGTGTTCATGCATTGACACCAACACACCTAAACACTTGCTGTAAAAGCCTTTCTGTTGAGGCGTGGTAAAAACGGCATCTCCCATGTGACGGTGGTGAGCTGATGTACCCTGTTACATTGATGGAGGTCTCTACGCAGCCACAAAACATTGGTACAACCATGGTCTTTACAGTATGTTATTGGTGTCCTGGATTTGTAGATGCTAGGGATCCTACTTCATCTTGGCCTCCCAGGGTAAATATGCAGGATAGACTGGCCATACGTTATACAATTTTCTTGAGATTTTTGGTTTAGATCAGTGGTACTCAACCTTCCTAATGCCGCGACCCTTTAATGCAGTTCCTCATGTTGTGGTGACCCCCAACCATAAAATTATTTACCCAGTAATTATAATTTATGAAGTGTCGTTTTACCTCCAATACTGCTGCTTTCAGCACAGTAGCTGCTTTTAACAGAGTAGCTGCTTTCAACACAGCAGCTGCTTTCTACACAGTAGCTGCTCTTTACACATCGGTTATATGTGTTTTCTGATGGTCTTAGGGGACCCCTGTAAAAGGGTCGTTCGACCCCCAGAGGGGTCGCGACCCACAGGTTGAGAACCACTGGTTTAGATTTACCAAAAAACCATATGAGGTCAAACCTAAACAACACTTTCAATTGCATCCAATTAGGCAGGTTCTTGTACCACGTAGTTGAAGGTAAATCTAAAGGAAATTGGAAAGAAAATTGTATAGTGTATGGCCAGCCTTAGACTTTTTTTTTTTTTTTTTGTCACATGCATTCCTGTGGAAACTACAGGTGGTGATGCCAACACACATGGTGCAGGCCATGGTCAACAATACCACACCAATGCGATCCAAAGCAGTTGTGTGTGGACAGGTACTGGCTAGAGGAGATTGGTAGCACTGAGAAATTAAAAAAAAAAAAGGCAATTGTATACCTTTATTTTATTATTATTATTATTATTATTATTATTATTATTATTCTTCAAGATTTATATCGCGCCAACAGACTGCACAGCGCTTTACAAAATGAAGGTAGTCATTACAGTTACAATTGGGTACAAGAGGAAGTGGAGAGCTTAACCTTTTCACGCCGGCTGAACGCAAATGTGCGACCTCCTGGCATTTGGGCTGAGCGGCCGCACATTTGCGTTCTATTAAAAAAGGACATATGTGCCGAGAGCGTGCGCTCCCAGCACACACATCCGGTACTCGCAGAAAGGTCCCGATCTCCTCTTTTGATTGGGACCTTTCCCGATCATGTGACGGTATGTCATGGAGGTCACATGACCCTTAACCCCTCCCGGCTTCTGAAACCCTTAAAGGGCCGGGAGGCGCCGGTGCCAAGGGCTTAATAATAAACCAAATTTCTTCCAGTTAGTTTTGAACTACTTTTAAATGTAACTGCTTTCCTTCCAGAACACTCGTGAAACAGCTCAAGCTATCAAGGGCATGCACATTCGTAAGGCTACCAAGTATTTGAAAGACGTCACCTTAAAGAAGCAATGCGTTCCTTTCCGCCGCTACAATGGAGGTGTTGGCAGGTGTGCCCAGGTTGGTCTACTGAAAACGTTACTGTGATATATGAACTTTGTGTGGCTCTGTTCTCTTAGGAGTTGCAATGATGACTATCTTAGGACACCTTTGGAATAACCATGAAACTAACTTACCTTCTGAGCAACTCTGATTTGTTTTAATACTTCTCAGTATGTTTAATGTGACTTGTGTTTTTTTTTGCTTTTTTTTGTTTGGGGGGGGGGGGGGGGGGTGCGTGTTTTCATGTGATCAGCACAGGGCCGTCGGCACTGTCTGGACAGAGGGTCAAGGGTCCTCCTCCCTGTCGGCTCGTGCACACTGCTTTGGATGGCTGTGCACAGCAATGAAAAGCAGTGTGATTACAGTAAAGCACATTGACACAGCATATAGCAAAGCAGCACACAGTTACCCTTTGCCCCTCATGTTAACCCCTTCCTGCCCAGTGTGATTAGTACAGTGTCAGGTTCGTTTTTGTTTTTTTTTAGTACTGATAACTATATTGGTGTCACTGGGGATGTCGTGACACCAAGTCCGTTCCCCCCCGTGTCAGAATGCCCACCGCAGTCCCGCTATAGGTCGCTGATTGCCACCATTACTAGTAAAAAAATATTAAAAAAAAAAAAAGGCCCAGTGTATATACCGCCATTTTGTAAATGTTATAACTTTTACGTAAACCAATTATTTACACGTATTGGTTTTTTTTTTTATGAAAGACATGTAGCAGAATACGTTTCTTGGCGTAAATTTATGATGAAATTTTGATTTTCACTTTTTTTTTTTTTTTTTTTTACTGGACATGTTTAATGGCAAAAAAGTCAAAAATATATATATTTTTTTTTTTTTGTCTAATAGCTCAAAAAATAACCGCACAGGCAATCAAATGCCATCGAAAGAAAGTGGGGGGGTGGGGGATGTAAATTTAATTGGGTGCAGCGTTGCATGACTGTACAATTGTCAGTTAAAGTAACTTTGCTTCCGTAACACAAAAAATTGGCCTGATCAGGAAGAGGGGGAAAATCCTCAGGAGGGGGCAAGGGGTTTAAACCGCAAATACTCAATGTGTATGCTTTCTTTTATCATTATTACGCTTTAGTTAAAATGGAGTTCTGTAAGAGTAAGCATTGCACATATGTGGTATATTTATTTCAGGTACTTATATAGCGCCGTCAATTTACACAGCGCTTTACATATATATTGTACATTCACATCAGTCCCTAACCCTCAAGGGGCGTACAATCTAAGGTCCCTAACTCACATTCATACATACACATACTAGGGACAATTTAGACAGGAGCCAATTAACCGCCCAGCATGTCTTTGGGGGTGTGTGAGGAAACCGGAGAGTACCTGGAGGAAACCCATGCAGGCACAGGGAGAACATGCAAACTCCAGGCAGGTGGTGCTGTGGCTGTGATTCGAACCAACGACCCGAGTGCTGCCAGGCAGACGTGCTAATCATTTATCCACTGTGCTGCCCACTGTTATAATCTTGGTGTGTGTATTTATTTAGTGGGGAAAAAACATTTTTGACTAAACAATCTTTACCCTACAGGCAAAGCAGTGGGACTGGACACAAGGACGTTGGCCTAAGAAGAGTGCAGAGTTCCTCCTGCACATGCTGAAGAATGCTGAAAGCAATGCTGAACTCAAGGTGAGTACTAAAAGCACGTGTGTTTTGAACCTTTTTGTTGCCTCCCTTTTTTTTTTTTTTTTTTAAACTTTGTTTCTGTTACGTTTGGGAACAGTAAGTGACCGGGAATCTCTCCAGTGCACTAGACGTGGAAATTCTACTTTTCCCCACTCTATCCTAAAGTAATGCCCCGTACACACTATAAGAAAATTGGACAAACGTATTCATCTGACGAGCAATCGTGCAAATTTCTGACGGTGTGTACATTTTCGACCGCTGATTCTGATTCGATTGGGAACAGAACGAACTATTTTTGTTTAATGTGTACAGTTTTCATACGAGAAGAATTGGATACGAAAGACCGCGCATAATCGGAAGCTGCTTATGACCCGGAAAAAAAAAAACAAAACATTACATATGTCATTGCATCACAATGAATGTGTGTGTTTTGCATGTTGTAAAAATAAAACGCAAATAAAAATTATATTTATTATAAAATATGGCACCGAACGGCGTGGCTACAGGGTCACAGGTACATTACATTTCCACAGCTACGCTACGACGTTCGTACACAATGCCTTTATATCGTACAATATTCTCATGCATAAAAGCACATCGCTTTCGACCAGCAGCGTACAATCGATGATAAACCGGACAATCGTTCGTCCAATTTTCTTATAGTGTGTTCGGGGCATTAACCTCTCAGGAGTTTCTATTTCTTTTCAATGTCTGACACTTAGATTTTCACCCTCCAGACAAATGCTCCAATGCCGTAATATTCCTCACTGCATTGCTGGTGGCGATGATGACTTTCTTAGGACACCTTTGGAATCAAAACATGAAAACAAACTTTTTGTCTGAGCTACCAGCGCTCTTTATGCACATTGGCTCTGTTTTCCTTCCTTTTTTGCTTTTCTGTTCTTAGCATGGCATTTTTTTTTTTTTTTTTTTTTTTTTTTTCCCTCAGGGTTTGGATGTTGACTCCCTGGTCATTGAGCACATTCAGGTGAACAAGGCTCCCAAGATGCGCAGACGAACCTACCGTGCTCACGGACGTATTAACCCTTACATGAGCTCTCCTTGCCACATTGAGATGATCTTAACCGAAAAGGAGCAAATTGTCCCTAAACCAGAAGAGGAAATTGCCCAGAAGAAAAAGGTACGTTCACTTCATAAGTAGCATACCTGTGTCTCCTTTCAGTCAAGGATGCCAAATCCCTGCGCAAATGAAGAAATGTGTTGTGTTTGTTTTTTTTGTTGAAGCCTTTGTCACGAATTCCTATTTGGGTAAAAATCGCTTACTCATCTCTTGCCTACAATCGTCCTAATGTGCATGGACACATAGGGGTTGATTTACTAAAGGCATATAGTCTGTGCAGCTGCTCTAGGTCTGAGGAGAACATGCAAGGAAAATAAAAACAAAAAAAACAGCATTTTTACTTGCACATGATTAGATGAAAGAAATCAGCGCTTTGCCTCATTATAGAGCTTCCCCTCATATCTAAAGCCACTGCACTTGTAGTGCACAATATATTTACCTTTAGTAAAATCAACCATTTTTAAGCTTCAGCGTTTAGGAGCAGAAAAAAAAAATTGTTTTTGGGAGCATTTTTCAAGCAAAAAATAAACGAAGGTGTGTTTTTGTGTTTTTTTTTTTTTTTTTTTAAATTGTTTTTAAATGCAATTAAAAGTGAACACACTACTACAATCTGGCACAAGCTCTATTATCGACGTTTTTCAGCTTATAAAAACCAATAGTGTGCATGGAGCCTCAGAGGAACTCTGCACTGGCCAGGAAGTGAAAAGTGTTTAATGCATCAGTGTGAAAATGTTCTCCTCTGAGCTCAGGAATGAAAATAAATTATAACATTTCATCAGAGTGAAAACATTTTGTGACTGAACGCACACTAGAATGTTTTCTTGGTGTTACAATATTGCTGTGTGCCTTCTGGTGCAATGTTATACTGTGAAAAAAATAATAATTCAAAATTTAGGTGCTAAATATCATAAAACCTGTTTTAATGCGTATGTTAAATAACGCATGCTTTTTAGTGAATTGATTATTCTTGAGATATAGATAGAGATAGATATATATATATAGAGAGAGAGATATATATATAGATAGATTGAGAATATAAAAATAGGAAGTATGCAACACTTCAAATCACCCTACTTTCTTGCACTACAAAAAAAAAACAAAAAACAAATCACAAGCAGGATATAAATCGATTTATGCAACAAAACCAAGTGGGTACATCAGGACAGACTACCTCATACAGGAAGACATGAGGTGCCACAATAATGCATAAAGCACAAATACTGCATGACAGATAAAGGACATTGGGGTCAATTCACCAAGATAAATGCCTCACAAATTGGAGATAGAGAGAGAGATATATATAGAGAGAGAGAGTTATTTTAACTCCTATTCGTGAGGCATTTATCTTGGTGAATTGACCCCAATGTCCTTTATCTGTTGTGCAGTATTTGTGCTTTATGCATTATCGTGGCACCTCATGTCTTCCTGTATGAGGTAGTCTGTCCTGATGTACCTACTTAATTGGTTTTGTTGCATAAATCGATTTATATCCTGCTTGTGATTTTTGTTGTTTTTTGTAGTGCAAGAAAGTAGGGTGATTTGAAGTGTTGCATACTTCCTATTTTATATTCTCAATGCCAGGAATGTTGGGAGTTTTTGTCTACTTGTTCACCCTGGAAGGTGCACCCTGTGCCTAGTGATGGGGGGGGGGGTGGAGTTTTGGGGATGCTATTAGCAACAGTGTTTTACACCCTAAATTTGGTATAACATGAAGGTACCGCCACACACTATTCATCTCTGATGAATGAAAGACTGGCTTCAGCTCAGATCCCAGCCCATCGGTCACGCCCTACTGACAGGTTTCACCCTCATTGGGCTTGGTCATAGATGTCTACAATTAAGCCCAATGTGGGTGAAACCTGTCAGAGGGACATGGGCACGACCAGTGGGCTGGGATCTGAGCTGAAGCCTGTTTTGTATTCAACTCCAATGTAAGGTAAATGAGATTGCACTGTATGCGGTGATGTGCTCTCCACCAGCACCTGAAGTGTAAACCTGGGAGACTGACACTACAGGCTTAGAGTGGTGTTGATCTGTTATAACACTCTAAATTTTAGAAGTAAAATGAGACCTGGTATGAATTGATTTGGCCTTTAAGCCCTGATTCACTCTAGAATTCAGCGCAGGAAACCCACGATCCCTGAGCCGTTTCCCGCACTGCATTTAAAATTGCTCTGCCCTTGATCTGCATTGGGTGTCAGTGCTAAGTTAGCGACACCCCAAACACAGGTTGCAAACAGTGTTTGCCTGCACGGGATTCATGTTACAAAATGACCATGTGATCTGGTTGCAGTGCTGTTCTAAAAGTGGTGCATGCACTAAGTTGGTGTGATTTGAGCCCATGCAGAATGAATGGGCTCAGATCACGCTGCACTGAATCACACGTGAATTACACAGGAATGTGTTGCGCTTCCTGTGTGAATCTAAAGAAGAACTCCAGGAATTATCACATTTTAATGTGCCAGCTTACAATTGAATCAAAGTCCAATGAGGTGCATGCAACCTTGAGGACTGTTTATTAAAGTTTAGATTTTTCCTCTGTGCTGGGATTGCAGTTATCGGTATTCTTCACAGTCCTCTGATGCTGGACCTTAGGGTCTCAGATCCTGAAGCTGCAAAGTTGCTCTGCCTGCCCCTCCTCTCATTTTTGCCCAATTACAGAACACTTGCGTATTATGTGTTTTTTTTTTTTAACCCCTTCGTGCCGGTGCCTCCTGACCCTTTAAGGGTTTCAAGAGGCAGGGTGGGGTTTAGGGTCATGTGACATGCTGTCACGGCAGTCACATGATTGGGAAAGGTCCCGATCGAAAGAGATTGGGGCCTTTCCCGTGAGTACCGGACATGTGTGCTGGGAGTGCTCAGGGCGTGCACTCACAGCACGTCCTCCTTTTTTTTTTTTTTTTTTTTTTTTTTTTTTTTTTTTTTTTTAATATGCAAATGTGCGGCCGCTCGGCATCTAAGCCCAGACGCCGGGAGGCCGCACATTTTGCATTCGGCCGGTGTGAAGAGGTTAAAGCCTTCTGTGAACGAACAGGGATGGACAGAGTGGCTGCTGTATGAGAAAACGGAATCTCCCGAGCTCTGGAAGTATGACGATAGCTGTATGCTGAATAAAAGTTCAAAAGATGACGCATCTTCTTGGACTCGACCTATATTCTACACCAGTACTTTTTTTTTTTCTTAGTGACTGAATTCCTGGATTTCCACTTTAAAGGTGGATCTTAATTTTCATCAGTGCTCTGCAAATGCCTTTTGGTAGCATATTTTTATTTTTTGATTTGTTGGCAGATTACAGGTGTCCCTTTGTTGTACGTAAATACTGTTTATAACAGACATCAGTGCTTGAGAATAACCTTTTTGCATTTTTCTTTTGCAGATCTCTCAGAAGAAGCTGAAGAAGCAAAAACTCTTAGCTCGGGACTAAAAAGCAATGTACAGAAATAAATTACATCCTTCTAAATCTTGTTTGTCTCGTCAGTCTTTAAAAAATGTAAACCAATCTCGGGGGGCTGGTCATGTCTGCCGCTGTGTAATGTTTATTGACATGAGTTGACCAGTACTGACAGTGGGGGCTGTCATGATGAGGGCGTCAGACCCTAGACCTTCTCACCCAAACTCGTGATCAAAGGACTAACCGATCTAAAAACCGCGATGTGACATGCGTAACAATGCCACACCCAGCTGCACCCTGCACAACAATTTTCCAGCTAACGGAACACAATCGATGTTTTGGCAGCCTGGGCGATTGTTACTGGGTCAGGTTAATTGCACAATTAACCCTTCACACACTGCCACCACCTCCTTTTTGTACAGAGAAAGGAAACTTGGTGTTATCGGCTATAACACTATAATGATTGAGATAATCGTCTGTATAAAACGGTCATAACACAGGCCTGTTATACAGAGGGTTAAACAAACAGCGTTCTCTTTAGAGGCAGGGATTCGTAAATTGCAATACAGAGCTATAGGAACAGTTCAACACTTTCAGAAAGAAAGAGATTTATTACTAAAAGGTCAAACAGGTGCAATAAAAATATTTTACAGAAAAAAGATGAGAGAGAATGAGAACCATAGCACAGCAAAGAGATATCAGAGAGAGGTGAAAGGGATAAAGTACTTGCCAAAGTCCTGGGTTAGCAGATCCAAGTTTCAGAGCAGAAGGGTGCTTTGATCTCCCTATGTTATGATGGTCAATAGAATTCTTCAACTAACTAATCTTAGGCCTGACAGCCAGTTTTGTAGTCCCCAGCAGGGGGTGGCTCTGCAGTCAAGGACCAATCTCCGCTTAGGGCGTGGAGAGATGGGTGGATGCCTCAACTAGAGCAAAAATCTCCCATAACTCATATTTGGCCTATAACTTTTCCTATGCACAAGTGACATCCCATCCGCGGGTAGATTATTATGCAGACAAGTCTGAGGATGGATTAGATATGAATTATGAAAGTGTATGCTAAACGGTTCTTGAGATCTATTTTTCTTCTTTCCTGTGTGTCCGAGACAAGGCGAGTGACCCATCAAACTGTTTGACTGCTCATTGTCCATCTGACGATATGTCCGGTTTTTATGTAAGTCTCTCATATTCCAAGATATGAGACATAGGGGAAAACATGGTTTTAACAGAGGTTATCTGATTTTATCACCTACACTGAGTTAGGCTTTATTAGGGTGGAACCTCTCAACTCCAGAGAAAGCTTGCCTTCTCTCTTCCGAGGTGTGAAATGGTGCAGCTTTCCAAGACAGCTAGGCACCTAGCTCAGAGATCCCTTGGCCTGCCAGTGACCCACAACCAGCACACACACCTGCTGGCCAAATGTCTCCTCTCAGAGGGGGAGGGAAGAATAAGGGAGAAATGTATACTAGTCTGCGTCCTTCACTGTGTGTTGCGCACGTTTGCGACGGGCCATATCTTGGAGTCACTGGCCAGCTGCTATTGAGCATTTCCAATTGGTTTATCACCACTGCTGGGTTGTAGTAACATCTACCTGCAATTAGGCTGCCTAAGGGCAATTGGTGCATGCAAGCCTTAATGGGTCTACAAGCTGACTTTTTTTTTCCCTCCCAGTCTTTCAGGATAGCACCCTTGAGAGACTTTGGCTCCTGCCCATCTTTGGAAATGCCACCACCCTGAATAAAAACGTGGCCTCCCCACACAGACCTCGGTAATGGTGTTTCCTCTGGTGGGGAGACACTGTCTCGGAAGCCTCGGCCTTGCTCTTCTTTTTTTTTTTTTTTTTTTTTGCAAGAGTTGGAAGAGCAGAGGGTCGTCATCAGGGTCCCCTACACAGAGATCAGCGAGGGACGTCTAGGATAGCCGGCAGTTGTCTTTGGACTCCTTGGTATGAAGAGGACCCTCTGCTGGTGGGGGGGCAGCCAATTTGGCTCAAGGGCTGTTATGGGTCTTATCTATCTCCAGGGAAGTTGCAGCGGATGCGAGTGCCAGAGGTTGGGGAGTGCACCTAGAGGGGTCTGTGGCGCAGGGTTCTTGGCTACCAGAAGAGAGGGGCAGGTCCTCAAACTTGAACTCAAACCTGTTTCACAATCCCTTGTGGCCTTTCGGGAGCAGCTGCAGGAACAAATACGTGTGGGTGCTCTAGGACAACTCCGTTGTGGTGTATGTCAACAGACAGGGAGTGACTCGAAGCAAAACTCTGTGGTCCCTGGCCTTGGAACTGCTCACCTGGGCCAAGACCAATGTAGCCTCCCTATCTGCTGTCCACCTGAAGGGTGAGTTGAACCAAGTGGCAGACTTTCTCAGCAGAAGGCAACTGAGGGAATCAGAATGGGAGATCTACCAAGCCATCGTCGTAGGGGAGTGGGAGTCTCCATCCATAGACCTTTTTGCGTTGGGCTATAATGCCAAAGTCCTGGTTTTCTTCTCCCTAAACTGTTTGAACGGGGTGTTGATGGTGGATGCACTAGTGCAGTGGTGGGATTTTCCCCTGTGTTGCGCCTCCCCCCCCCTCCCTCCTTATTGCCAGCAGTTCTGAGGAAATTTTAGGTCTGAGTGAAATTCTCTGATCCTAATATCCCTGCACTGACCCAGACGGGCTTGGTTTTTGACCCTGGCTGTTTACCCTCCTTTGGTTATTTACATGCTGACAGGACCTGCTTTCTCAGGGTCCGGTCTTTTCTTCCCAGGTAGACATATGGAACCTAGCAGCCTGCTTTTTGAGGAGCAAGGGGTTTTCTGCTAGGGTAGTATCCACCCTCCTAAATAGAAAAGAGAAGACCAGTTCAATTTACCTTTTTAAGGAATGATGTAAACTCTATAAAAGATGGCGTGCCCAGATGTCCTCGAAAGTATATAGCTTAATTTCAGTCCTGGAATTCTTGCAGACGAGGGGCTAGTGGTGAGTATGCTAAAAGGCCAAGCCTCAGCTCTTAGCGTAGTCCTCGAGTCTCCCTTAGCCAGGGATGAGCTTTTGACGAGATTCTTTAAGTCCTTGACCAGACAAAAGCCAGTCCACTCCACTGAAGAATTGAAGTTTTTCCCTCCTTGGCCTCCAACCTTCCTGTGTCATTACACCGGATCTCTAAGGCTCCATGCACACTGGCCATTTTAATAATGCTGGTAATGTTAGTTTTTTTTTTTTTTTTTTTTAAGTCATAAAAAGTCCAAAAATGCTGGTTTTCTGTGATTTACCATGTTTTTCAGCATTAGAGCGTTTTTACCCTAAACTCCTCTAGAAACCCCATTTTTTTTTTTTTTTCCCTGCCAAAAAATGTTGATTACAGTGTGGGTGTGCATGGACACACAAGATAATATGCTGGGGGGGGGATTACTGGCTGTAGAACAAAACATCTAAAGCCAAAAACAGCCGCTGTAAAAATGTCCAGTGTGTATAAGGATTAAGTCTTTTGGATCAAGATATCATTGCCCTGGTTCACAATGGTGTCAGGGATTTTACTCCAACTTGTTTACCGTTTCTCAAATCCAAAGGTGGTACCCGTCTTGACTCTCAGTGAGCGACAAAGGGGTTGACTGAAAGCATTTTGCAGATGGCCTACAGGAAATTCACACCGGGGGTCATAGTTGTTTCCTTATCCCTGAGTTATGGCGCAGGAGCATCACATACTTGGAATGCAAATATTTCTTACAATTTTGTGAAGGTGCCAATAGTTTTGTCCAGGAGTTTTGCATGGAATGTGTCAGATTTGGGTTTTTGGTTCTCCACTTTTATGTGTCATACCAATAAAAACAAAAGAAATAAACACGAGAATGTCGAAACATTTGTAGTTGCAACAATTTTCTGGGCGAAGTGAAGTGTTATCTGACAGAAGGGGTGCCAATATTTTTGGCCATGACTGTACAGGTTAGTGGTTTAATAAAGACATATTTTTTTCCTCTGGTTGCACAGTTCCTTTACACAGGAGCTGCTGTCAGGCTCCAAATACATAGAGCAGCACCTGGCTGTCACCACCGTGCTGAAGAGGCTCAAATTTCAAGGTGTTCTCTAATTGGATGAGGTGGAGAGGCGTGGCAGATGATGGCAAGATCTACGCTCATCCAATCAAAGAGCAATTCACATGAAAGACGTATTCAATGGGCAGCGCAGTGGGTCAGCACTTACGCCTGGCAGTACTAGGGTCGTTGGTTTGAATCCCAACCATGGCACCAGTTTGCATGTTCTCTCTGTGCCTGTGTGGGTTTCCTCCAGGTACTCTGGTTTCCTCCCACACTCCAAAGACATGCTGGTAGGTTAATTGGTTCCTGTCTAAATTGTCCCTAGTATGTGTATTTATGAATGTAAGTTAGGGACCTTAGATTGTACACCCCTTGAGGGTTAGGGACTGATGTGAATGTATATAGCGCTGTGTAAGTTGACGGCTCTATAAAAGTACCTGAAATAATAAAAATACAAAGCATTCTCTGAATGGTGGAGGGGCAAAGTTAGTGGACCTGCCTGTGTGCAGTGCTCAGTGGGGAGGCCTCTTGAGCAGGACCCAGAGGATCGCTGTAGGTTGGATGGGTTACGGCAATGGTTCTCAGCATCTTCAGAAACAAGGTCAGGATCATTACATTCTGACAAGCTGGAACAATGTAAGTTGTCAATAAACATCATTCCTGGAGTTCTGCTTTAAATCCCTTAGTTCTGATTTACCCCTTCCTTCCCTTCTCTCTTTAACTTTTTTTACTGGGGTTTTTTTTTTCTTACATATGTGTTTTTTTTTCCCTAATTTAAATTTTTTTTTACCATTGTGTTCATTGTCGGTAGTGCTGCGTTTTAAAAAATAATTTTTTAAACCTCTGTTTCATAGCAAACTTCTAATCAATTGGCACTGGACATTCCTTGTGTCTTTTCCCAAAACAGCCAGCTCTGCAGTGTGTGATATTACCGCTGGGGGCGCTGGTACACTCTGAGCCCGGCACTGGGCATGCGCAGAGTTCTCTGCAGTGTGTGATATTACCGCTAGGGGGCGCTGATACACTGAGCCCGGCGCTGGGCATGCACAGAGCTTTCTGCAGTGTGTGATATTACCGCTGGGGGCGCTGGTACACTCAGGCTGGCACTGGGCATTGCACAAGAGTTCTCTGCAGTGTGTGATATTACCGCTGGGGGCGCTGGTACACTCAGCCCGGCACTGGGCATGCACAGAGCTCTCTGCAGTATGTGATATTACCGCTGGGGGCGCTGGTACGCCCTGAGCCTGACAATGGACATGCGCAATGCCTTTACGATTACAGGCGCCGTGCAGTATGTGAGATGTCCGCTAGGGGCGTTGGTAGGCCCCGAGCCTGGCAAATAGACACGCAGGGGGCGTGTTGCATAACAGCTCTCTGCAGTATGTAAGATCGCCAGTGGGGGCGCTGGTACACCTTTACCTGGCAAAAGACAGGCCCAGTGCTTTTAACATAGGAGCGCCCTGCAGTATGTAAGACTGCCGCTAGTGGCGCTGATACACCCCGAGGCCCGTTGATTGAACAGTCCACCGTGGCGGAAGCGGAAGTGGTGGTATTTCCTGTCCGAAGAGTAGAAGGAACATAGAGGCGGAAGGTTTGTGTGGGGTCGTGGTGGGCTGTATAGGAGGGAGTAGTTCGTGGGTTCTGGTCATCAGGAGGGGAGACAAGCTGGATACCAGCAGGTTATGGATCGTGTCGTCATAGCAGAGGGCACAGGAAGTGTTCTGTATAGAGTGTGTATATGATGTCATATTACAGACCAGAGGGCACGTATGATGTCATATTACAGACCAGAGGGAACGTATGATGTCATATTACAGACCAGTATGATGTCATAACAGTACGTGATGTCATATTACAGACCAGAGGGAACGTCTGATGTCACAGTAACGTATGATGTCATATACAGACCAGAGGGAACGTATTACAGACCAGAGGGAACGTCTGATGTCATATTACAGACCAGAGGGAACGTCTGATGTCATATTACAGACCAGAGGGAACGTATGATGTCATATTACAGACCAGAGGGAACGTATGATGTCATATTACAGACCAGAGGGAACGTCTGATGTCATATTACAGACCAGAGGGAACGTCTGATGTCATATTACAGACAGAGGGAACGTATGATGTCATATTACAGACCAGAGGGAACGTCTGATGTCGTATTACAGACCAGAGGGAACGTCTGATGTCGTATTACAGACCAGAGGGAACGTCTGATGTCGTATTACAGACCAGAGGGCACGTCTGATGTCGTATTACAGACCAGAGGGCACGTCTGATGTCGTATTACAGACCAGAGGGCACGTACGATGTCGTATTACAGACCAGAGGGCACGTACGATGTCGTATTACAGACCAGAGGGCACGTACGATGTCGTATTACAGACCAGAGGGCACGTACGATGTCGTATTACAGACCAGAGGGCACGTACGATGTCGTATTACAGACCAGAGGGCACGTACGATGTCGTATTACAGACCAGAGGGCACGTACGATGTCGTATTACAGACCAGAGGGCACGTACGATGTCGTATTACAGACCAGAGGGCACGTACGATGTCGTATTACAGACCAGAGGGCACGTACGATGTCGTATTACAGACCAGAGGGCACGTACGATGTCGTATTACAGACCAGAGGGCACGTACGATGTCGTATTACAGACCAGAGGGCACGTACGATGTCGTATTACAGACCAGAGGGAACGTACGATGTTGTATTACAGACCAGAGGGCAACGTACGATGTCGTATTACAGACCAGAGGGAACGTACGATGTCGTATTACAGACCAGAGGGAACGTACTGATGTCGTATTACAGACCAGAGGGAACGTACGATGTCGTATTACAGACCAGAGGGCACGTACGATGTCGTATTACAGACCAGAGGGAACGTACGATGTCGTATTACAGGCCAGAGGGAACGTCTGATGTCGTATTACAGGCCAGAGGGAACGTATGATGTCGTATTACAGACCAGAGGGAACGTACGATGTCGTATTACAGACCCGAGGGCACGTACTGATGTCGTATTACAGACCAGAGGGTACGTCTGATGTCGTATTACAGACCAGAGGGAACGTATGATGTCGTATTACAGACCAGAGGGCACGTATGATGTCATATTACAGACCAGAGGGAACGTCTGATGTCATATTACAAACCAGGTGGAACATATGATGTCATATTACAGACCAGAGGGCACGTATGATGCGATATTACAGATCAGATGGAATGTATGATGTCATATTGCAAACCTGAGGGCGCGTATGATGTCATATTACAGACCAGAGGGCACCGTATGTTGTCATATTACAATCAGAGAGCACGTATAATGCGATATTACAGAACAGGTGGAACATATGTTGTCATATTACAGACCAGAGGGAACATATGATGTTATATTACAGATCAGAGTATGTGTATGTATGAATGTGAGTTAGGGACCTTAGATTGTACACCCCTTGAGGGTTAGGGACTGATGTGAATGTACAATATATATGTAAAGTACTGTGTAAATTGATGCCGCTATATAAGTACCTGAAATTACAGCCGTGGCCAGCAGCTTGTACTAATCCGTGACAGACCCTGCCACTGTTCCCATGTAACACATCTATCATATGAGCTGTGTTAAGCAACTCTGACCAGCCCTGGATGCAGATATTTTGCATCCAGGGACAACGTTTTCTGGATGCAAATAATCGTCCAGTTTGTATGCACCCATAACACAGAGTGCAGCTGGGTCTATCTGTCGATGAATACCCTAATGCACCCCAGCCAGCCCATCTGAATGAGCCCAAACTTGAGAGCTTGCAGAGCATTATATGGTGACATAATAGAGAGCACAGGGTAACATATGTGCTCAGACTGGGAGAGGGAGAAGCAGCACAATCAGCTATTCAGAAGTCGTGTTGCAGTGCTTATGTGCTAACAAGGAACATGCAGTTAGGAGCAGAGTGGCTAAAATAAGACCTTTAAGTGTGCTTATCTGCAGCAGAAAAAAATCAGGTCTCCTGCCAAAGAGGGCTAGGCTGTGTGACAGAGCTGTGTAAACCTCAGTACTGGATGGGCGGGCAGACAAGCCCTGTAGGAGGTAAATAGATGTTTTTCATTTGTGTATTTTGCTGTTTTTCCTGGAATTCAGCTTTGAATCACTGAAGTTACCCCCGTGTACTTTATATAGCTGTCTGTGCCGGTGACTGTTTACAAGGCAGTATGTTTCCCTTACAGATCGTCAGCCATGGTGTGCATCCCCTGCATCGTCATTCCAGTTCTCTTGTGGGTCTACAAGAAATTCTTGGAACCCATCATCTACCCCTTCATATCCCCCTTCATCAGCCGGATCTGGCCAAAAAAAGCCGTTCAAAGCAGCCCGTCTCCAGGGAACACAGGCAAAGTAGAATGCAATGGTAGCAGTAAGGTATGTGGAAATTTATAATGTATATGTCACCTTCAATGTACTGGTGTCCAGCAGTTTACGTGGTTGCTGCTTATTGCTGACTGGTGCAGCCAATGTCACCTCCCCCGTTCTAATGTGCCATTAGAACCTCTGATTTAATTATGTGGGGCACAGTGATGGTCCAATGGGTGGTTTTGTTTTGTAAACAAATCCATGTGACCACTGCAATTGGCTGTCATAGTGACCACCTAATTGTGAAATCAGTCATAGTCCCCCAGTATTGGAGACTATCACTTTCAATAATGGGACATAGATTTTTCATCTTTAGCATAGGGCAGGGGTGGGCAACTGTGGCCCTCCAGCTGTTGGTGAACTACAAGTCCCATCATGCCCCTGCCTTTGGGAGTCATACTTGTAACTCTCAGTTTTGCAATGCCTCATGGGACTTGTAGTTCTACAACAGCTGGAGGGCCACAGTTGCCCACCCCTGGCATAGGGCATTTAGGGCCCATTCACATTTCACCCAAAATTTATAAGTCAGCAGTTACAAGTTCTGTAGCTTCTGACTTTTATAAGACACAGACTTACTAGCCCAAGAAGTCTAGCGCTGTATTCCCCGCAGCCAGGGCTTCAGATCTCCGTGCTGCCATCTTGGATTTAGGAGTTAGCTGTGACTACTTGTTGACTCACACTTGGCCCCCTACTGCGTCTTGCACAAGAAGAAGGCATTCAGCGAGATTGGTTCTGCAGCCTCCTGGAATGTGTGACGTGTATCCCAGGAGGCTACGCGTAGGCCGTGTTGACGTCACCCTTGCTTAGGCGAGGATTAAGGAAGTGGGAGCGATGCTGCAGCCGGGACAGCGCTGGAGCAGTGACAGGAGTCAGGAAAGTGTTTAGGGATGGGGGTGGCTAGGACAGTTAGTGGGTTTTGCAACGAATGCATTAAACTATAAAGGCAAAAGTGGAGAGGGATTAGAACACCTATTAGATTTTTATTGGTGTCTGTGTCCCCTTTAGGGAGATTCACTCTTTCTATTTGTCCTGTTTATCATCAAAAGTGAAAGTAAAAGAAAATCCCAAATTTTGGGTTGTCCCCCAGAACAGGAATAGAAGAGAAATCTTCCAATGGGGACACTAATGGGGATCCCCAAGGAATTCCCTTAATTTGCGGGAATTATCTCTCACTTCCTGTTTTTTGGCTATGGGACAGGAAGTGAAGGGAAAACTCCCCATTGGGAAACAGCAAAAATTAAATTGACAGGGGTTCTAACCCTATGAAAAAAAAAGTTTTGCCTATATTTCTAGTTTAACCCCTTCACGCCGACGTCACGCAAATATGTGGCCTCACAGAACTGGGCTTTTTTTTTTCCGTGGGGGCCGCATATTTGTGTATTATTATACAGGATTTATATAGCACCAACAGTTTGCTCAGCACGTATCTGTCATTGTGTTGGGAGCGCACTCCCAGTATAAAGACCTGGATGTCACTGAGAGCCCTGGGTCCCATTCTAACATTGGGACCCAGGATTCCTGATTCTGGTCACATGATCGCTGTGATAGCCTCTGATTGGCTTTCACAGTGATCAGATCACTGTACAGCTCCCCCCCTCCCCCTCTCTCTTCTTCTCCCCCTCCCCTCTCCCCCTCTCTCTTCTCCCCCCCCCTCTCCCCCTCTCTCTTCTCTTCCCCTCCTCCCCCTCTCTCTTCTCCCCCTCCCCCTCTCTCTTCTCCCCCCTCTCCCCCTCCCCCTCACTCCCCCTCTCTCTCTTCTCCCTCTTCTCCCCCCCATCTCTCTTCTCCCCCCCCCCTCTCTCTTCGTCCCCCTCTCTCCCCCTCTCTCTTCTCCATCTCTCTCCCCTCCCCTCTCTCTCCTCCCCTCTCATCTTCTCTCCCCCCCCTCTCTCTCCTCTCCCCCTCCCCTTCTCCCCCCTCTCTCTTCTCCTCTCCCCCTCTCTCTTCTCTCCTCTCCTCCCCCTCTCTCTTCCCCCCCTCTTCCTCCCCCCTCTCTCCTCTCCTCCCCCCTCTCTCTCCTCCCTCTGCACCCCTCTCTCCCCTACTCCCTCCTTCTCTCTTCCTCCCTCCCCCTCTCTCTCCCTCTTCTCCCTCTCCCCCTCCTCTCTTCTCCCCTCTCCCTTCTCTCCCTCTCCCCTCTCTCCCTCCCTCCCCCTCTCTCTCCCCCCTCCCCTCTCCCCCCTCCCTCCCCCTCTCTCCTCCCCTCCCTCCCCCTCTCTCTCTCCCCCTCTCCCCCCTCCTCTTCTCCCCCTCTCTTCCCCCCTCCCCTCTCTCCCTCCCTCCCCCTCTCTCTCCCCCCCCCCTCCCCTCTCCCCCCTCCCCCTCTCTCTCCCCCCCCCCCCCCCCTCTCCCCCTCCCCCCCTCCCCCTCTCCCCCCCCCCCCCCTCTCCCCCCTCCCTCTCTCCCCCCTCTCCCCCTCTCTCCCCCCTCCCCCTCTCTCTCCCCCCTCCCCCTCTCTCTCCCCCCTCCCCCTCTCTCTCCCCCCTCCCCTCTCCCCCCCCTCCCCCTCTCCCCCCCTCTCCCCCTCTCCTCTCTCACCCCCCCTCTCTCTCCCCCCTCTCCCCCCTCTCTTCTCCCCCCCTCTCCCCCCTCTCCCCCCTCTCCCCCCCTCTCTCTCCCCCCTCTCTCACTCCCCCCCCTCTCTCTCCCCCCCTCTCTCCCCCCCCCTCTCTCTCCCCCCCTCTCCCCCCCCTCTCCCCCTCTCTCTCCCCCTCCCTCCCCCCCTCTCTCTCTCCCTCCCTCTCCCCCCCCCCCTCTCTCTCTCCCCCCTCTCCCCCCCCCCCCCTCTCTCTCTCTCTCCCTCCCTCTCCCCCTCTCTCTCTCCCTCCCTCTCTCTCCCTCCTCTCTCTCTCCCTCCCTCTCCCCCCTCCTCTCTCTCCCTCCCTCTCCCCCTCCCTCCTCTCTCTCTCCCTCCCTCTCTCTCCCTCCCTCTCCCTCTCCCTCCCCCTCCCTCCTCTCTCCCTCCCTCCCCCTCTCTTCCCTCTCTCCCCCTCTCTCCTCCCCCTCTCTTCCCTCTCTCCCCCTCTCTCTCTCCTCCCCCCTCTCTTCCCTCCTCCCCCTCTCTCTCTCTCTCTCTCCCCCCCTCTCTCTCTCTCCCCCCCTCTCTCTCCCTCCCCCCCCCTCTCTCTCTTGCTCTTCCTCCCCCTCCCTCTCCCCTTGCATAGAGATGGAAAAAACTTTTGTTAGAAAAAAAAAAAAAAAAGATATATTTAAAAAAATAAATAAAAAATACCTAGATCAAGGTTTGATCCAGTTCAGTGCCAGGGTTAGTGTTAAGGTCAAAGGTTAGGATTTTTTTTTTTTTTTAATTGGTGTCAGTGTATTTTAGGTTAAAAAACCCCCAAAATTCGCACTATTGTTTCTGGGCTGTACTCCGGGTACAAACAAATAACATACACATATATGGTATCGCTGCGATCGTCAAGAGCTGGACAGTTTATTTTGAGTTGTTTCTTTGGTGGAAGGTTATGGTGGTAGTAACAAGATTTTTTTTTTTTTTTACTATTTTGGGTCAGTTTTCCTTTGATAATAAAAAAAATCAGGAGATATCCATTACCATTTACCACCAAATGAAAGCCCAATTTGTCCTGAAAAAAAAAACACGGTATAATTCACCTGGATGTCCAAAGTAGTTGTGATGATACGGATGGTTTTACTAACACATGTCAACGTTGCAAAATTGTGCTTAGGCGTTAAGATCTATTTTACCTTTAGGCGTGAAGGGGTTAAGGTGAAAACCATTAGAACTTCAGTTTAACTCATACTTGTTGTTCTGGTTGCAGCCCACCAATAATGGAACCATTAATGGAAGTGTCAGTCAAGCACATGAAGAGTCGTCCAATAAAAAAGACAGACTGAACAATCCTCGATGTATGGGGAATATAACCTGATCCAAGACCTGAATCTTCTAGGCTACAAATCCGATCCCACTGTCTGCAGATAAAGGACTTTATATTTATTGACCATGTAAATGTAACACATTATTGTATATATTGCATTCCAGATTTTTAGAAATTATCAAGTAAATAACAGATTCACATATAACAATAATAAAATATATAGACTTGTAAACAAAGTCTGCCTTTGGGAAATACTCAGATTCCGTATCTTTGGGATATTTTATGGTGGGGGAAATGCTGAGGGTTTTCTGTAGTATTATCTGAAAGTCTTGCACAAAGAAAACAACTCTGGGTGCAGTACCCATAGCAAACAATCTGATTCTCTTAGTGTCTGATCTAGTTAAAGGACCACTCCAAGCAAGAAAAAAAATACCCTTGCATAGCGTCCATGATGCCCTATGTTGCTGCTATAGCAGTTTGCATACCACAGCGGGGGAGGAGTGGCCAAGATTTTTGGAGTTCTTTCACATTTTAATTTGTCGTGAAAAATTTGAACTGTACCCTTTAATGGTTCCAAGTCTTGTGTGTAGCTGCAGAGGACAAGCTCCCGACAGGGACCCTCCTGTTCTCATCCATTGGGAAAAGTTGTTTCATAGTGTTGCACAAACTGTGAATGAGGGAGAGTCTAATGAGTCCCAGGATTCTCTCCCCATTCATAGATCATGTTATATACAGTGCAGACTATGGAAAAACCTTTCCCAATGGAGGAGGTGGGTATCTCTCAGGAGCTTGTTTACTGCAGCTTCACGGAAGACTCGGCGCTATTAACTCCCACAGTGCAGGAAGAGGACCAGGCACCCTGCACAGAAGATTTGGATCCAGCAGCCAGCACAGCATGGGACATGTTTCATTACAGGTAAATTAGGTCACTAAAGCTATAGAGTAGATTTTTTTGTTTTAAAGTGATACTAAACCCCGGACCCTGCATTCACCATATCTGGTCTCCCCGGACCCTGCATTCACTATATCTAGTCTCCCCCCGGACCCTGCATTCACTATATCTGGTCTCCCCGACCCTGCATTCACTATATTTGGTCTCCCCGGACCCTGCATTCACTATATCTGGTCTCCCCAGACCCTGCATTCGCTATATCTGGTCTCCCCGGACCCTGAATTCACTATATCTGGTCTCCCCGGACCCCGCATTCACTATATCTGGTCTCCCCGGACCCTGAATTCACTATATCTGCTCTCCCCGGACTCTGCATTCACTATATCCGCTCTCCCCCGGACCCTGCATTCACTATATCCGCTCTCCCCGGACCCTGCATTCACTATATCCGCTCTCCCCCCGGACCCTGCATTCACTATATCCGCTCTCCCCCCCGGACCCTGCATTCACTATATCCGCTCTCCCCGGACCCTGCATTCACTATATCCGCTATCCCCGGACCCTGCATTCACTATATCCGCTATCTCCGGACTCTGCATTCACTATATCTGGTCTCCAACAGAACATCGAAATGCAATTATTTTAGCATATATAACTTTTAAATACCTTTTCTCATCAGCAGTTACAGCAGTATTGTCACTTCTATCAGTGTTCAGCAAAGCACTGGTTAAAGTTTGTAGAAAGAATTTTCTCTAGGAGGATGCAGAACCTCTGGGCAGTGCTGATTGGCCCTGTGCTGATCACATGCACTCTCCCAAGAAAAAGAAAGAAAACCTAGCAATCCAAACTGAGCATGTGCAGAATGTCCTACACAATATGTCTTATCAGGAGATAAGAGGGTGGCACTGGAAGAAGGGAGGATCAGAGAAGACAGGATCAAACAGCAATTTTACACAATGCAGAGGATTAACCCCTTAGGTTCCACAGTGAGTATAACAAGCATGCTTTACTGCATCTACAGACTGATTGTACTGTTGGGGGTTTAGTAACACCTTAAGCTGAAAGGTACCGTTAAACCCCTGATCACACTATAAAGTGAACAGGAACGCACAGCACATTCCTGGTTGATTCACATGCAATTCAGTGCTGTGGCATTTATTTATTTCAGGTAATTATATAGCGCTGTCAATTTGCGCAGCACTTTACATATATATTGTACATTCACATCAGTCCCTAACCCTCAAGGGGCGTACAATCTAAGGTCCCTAACTCACATTCATACATACACATACTAGGGACCAATTTAGACAGGAGCCAATTCACCTACCAGCATGTCTTTGGAGTGTGGGAGGAAACTGGAGTACCCGGAGGAAACCCACGCAGGCACAGGGAGAACATGCAAACCCCAGGCAGGTGGTGCCATGGCTGGGATTCAAACCAATGACCCGAGTGCTGCCAGGCGGAAGTGCTAACCACTTAGCCACTGTGCTGCCCATATTTGAGCTCATTCATTTTGAATGGGTGCAAATCTCACTATATCATTTGGAAATGCACTGCAGCTGGAATCACATGGTACGTTTATACCATGCGATCGGGTGAAGGCAATGGCACTGCATTTTGAACGCATTGCGGATCTTCCACTCCGCGTTCTAGTGTGAACCTATCCTAAATGCTCATTAAGGCCTGGTTCACACCTATACGTTTTGCAATCTGCTGCAAAAAAAAAGTCCCTGACTCTTGCCAAAATTGCAGCAGCTGAAAATGCATAGATGTGAACATGTCCCATAGGAAACCATGTTAAATGGACTGTAGTGTGTTTCTGAAAAATCCAAAAAGCACTAAAAAATGCAGAGGTGTGAACCAGACCTAAAGGAAATGAAGAGCCAAAACTCTTTTGGCCGTACTTCTGGAGATCACAGGAGTGCACTTCGTTATGCGCTCTTGTGACCTGTATTCAGCCAGGCCAGACTCTGGAGAGATCCCCACTTTAATGTTGGGATCCACTCAGATGCCTGGACCGCCAGATGAGTCAGCCTCTCGGCACATTGCTGAGAACTTTAGCCAGCCACTCCCACCCCCTGCACAGCCCAACGCTTCAGTGAGCACTGGAGGGGCAGAGCAGCTAGCTGATGACTGACAGGAGTGCACTTCGTTATGCGCTCTTGTGACCTGTATTCAGCCAGACTAGGCTCTGGAGAGATCCCAACTTTAATGTTGGGATCCACGCAGATGCCTGGACCGCCAGATGAAACAGCCTCTCAGCACATTGCTGAGACTTCATCCAGCCACTCCCACCCCGGCACAACCCAGCACTTCAGTGAGCACACGAGGGGCAGAGCAGAGAGCTGGTGACTGACAGGAGTGCACTTCGTTATGCACTCCTGTCACCCATAGGTAGAAGGACATAGCCACTATGGAATTACAAGTCCCAGTGTCCAGATAGCTTGCAGCTTCTATTGAACTACTAGTCCCAGCAGTCCAGGTAGTAGTATGTAGCTAATATGGAACTACAAATTCCAGTGTCCAGGTAAGTAGCACATGAATAATACAGAACCTCAAGCCCCAGCAGTCCCTGTGTACCGCTAGCAGCACATGGTAAGTCTCGACAGTTCTGCCTCCTAGTAAGATCCTGCAGCCATAAGTTCCTCTGGGTCTGGCACCGGAGCAAACTCAGAAAGTATAAAAAAATAAAATTAAATGTAAGGAAAATGTAATAATGTTTAATGGAGGCTTCTGATATTTGGCATCCCTGCTTCACCTATTAGGGTGTGTCCTACTCTCATATGTGATCTCATTTGTATTTCATATGTAGGCTGCAGCAAGAGGAGTGAGACTTCTTCACAAGCAGAAGAGTTCGGAGCTCTAGACATACAGTCAGGTCCATATATATTTGGACACAGGCACAATTTTAGTTTTTTCAGGTATTTACCAAAACATATTCAAGCTATAGTTCTATAATGGATATGGGCTGAAAGTGCGCACTCTCAGGTTTAATTTGAGGGTATGTACATCCAAATTGGAGGAAGGGTTTAGGAATTACAGCTCTTAAGAGTAGCCACCCCCCCCTTTTTCAAGGGACCAAAAGTAATTGGACAATTGAATCAAAAGCGGTTTCATGGCCAGGTGTGGGCTACTCCTTCGTTATTTCTTCAATTATGCAGGTAAAAGGTCTGGAGTTGATTCTAAGGGTGGGATTTGCATTTGGAATCTATTGCTGTGAACCTACATCATGCATTCAAAAGAGCTGTCCATAGAAGTGAAACAGGCCATTGTAAGGCTTCAAAAACAAAACAAATCCATCAGAGAGATCGCAGCAACATTAGGAGGCCAAATCAACAGTTCGGTACATTCTGAGGAAAGAAGAACGCACTGGTGAGCTCAGCAACATAAAAAGACATGGACGTCCACGGAGGACAACAGTGGTGGATGATCGCAGGATCCTCTCTATGGTAAAGAAAAACCCATTCACAACATCCAGACAAGTGAAGGACACTCTCCAGGAGGTGGGTGTATCATTGTCAAAGTCTACAATCAAAAGAAGACTTCACGAGAGCAAATACAGAGGGTTCACCACAAGGTGCAAACCATTCATAAGCCTGAAGAATAGAAAAGCCAGATTAGACTTTGCCAAAAAAACATCTAAAAAAGCCAGACCAGTTCTGGAAAAGCATTCTTTGGACGGATGAAACTAAGATTAATCTGTACCAGAATGACGGGAAGAATAAAGTGTGGAGAAGGCTTGGAACAGCTCATGATGCCTACCCCCAACTACTGACAGCTCAGACTGACACCCACCTCCAACCTCTGATACCCCTTCCTGAACCACTGACAGCTTAGACTGGCACCTGTTAACCCATCAAGCCATCAGGGCTGGAGGCTCTTGAGAGAAGTACTGAGGCAGGGTGCAGTGGTGTTTTCAGGAAGCTATGTACGACACCCTGCCAGCCTCTCCCACCAGCCATGACCTGCCTGCATTGCTTAGAGAAGCACAGAGACCCCTGTGTCTAAAATAAGGTATGTCAGGAAAACAAAAAGCTTTATTTAAAAATGTCATCAGCATGTTGATGGGGTGGAAGGGTGAACCAGGGAAAACAAAAAAATAAGCAGATTAAAATTCAGCTTTAACATTTTTAAAACCTTTTTTCAATTAAACTCCTTTGCTTTATATTGCCTATAATTCTGCACCATTATTGACTGCAAACCAGCTACTGAAATGGGAAATTAGCAAATTTATATACAATCGACACAAATCCATCAATAAAAATCCACCACAGCTGACATGTGACTGCTGGTATCTATCCGAAGTATCAGTTCCAGTGGATGCTTCTTGTCAGAGTTATTTTCGATCGGTTATAGACAGGGGCGGGACTGACAACTCATGGGGCCCCCGGGCAATAGGAGATCATGGGGCCCCTGTGTCCTTGCCCAAACTCATAAAAGCCTATGAAAAAGGTACCAGGGGCATCTCATGGGGCCCCCTCCTGACCCCGGGCCCTCGGGCAGTGCCCGAGTTTCCAAATGGTCAGTCCGCCCCTGGTTATAGAAATCTCCACACTTTTTAAAGGGAAACTATAATCATTTTGTTGCTTTTATTTATTTTTTTTTTGTTTAGACAAGATGGTTTACAGGATGATAACTTTGTTTTTTTAATCTAAAATCATAATTGAAATCTATTAAAATGTATTTAAAAATAAATCTTTACTAATTTACCTTTTGGGATTATTAAAGCATTCTAAGTCTGAATCTGATTTCACTTTTTTTAATATAAATTAAAAAAAAGTTATCGTCTTGTTATCTTTTTCCTTTTGTACTCCTCTTTCCTTTTCTTTTTGTTTTTGGTGTGGCAGTGAATAACTTCCTTTAGTTTTAGTTACTGTCGGTGTTATATCACTGTTTTTGTCATTTACGTGCAATTGATAGCCCCTGCGTGGGCGCACCTTTTGCTCTGTTGGTGTTAGAGCACTGTTTTGTTTTTTTTTTTTTTTTATTTTATGTGCAATTGATAGTCCCTGCGTGGGCGTGTTTTGTTGCTCCTGTCTTAAGCTGTTTATAAATTAATAAAAACATTGAAATACAAAAAAAAAAAAAAATGCTAAAAAAAACAAAGTTATCATAAATAATATATATAAATCTTAACAAACAATATACCTGGTACCTATAATCTGTGTATTGGCATTTTACCTCTTCATGCTTCCTAGGGGCTAAGTGGGCTCTAATGCCTGGGAGGTGGCACAGCTTCTCTGTCATGTGACTGCTGTGATTGACTCCCACAGCGGTCATATGATTGGGAGCCTATCCCGCTGGTTCCTGACCAGAAGCCATGACCAAGAGCTATTGGTGACAGCTTGGTCAGTGTGCTGGGAGTGCACAGTGCACGCACTCTCAGCACACAACCTCAGGACGCCATAGACGTATATGTACGGCAGCTGGGCATTAAACTCCACTATTCCTGCTGCTGCATATACAGTACTGGGCAAACGTTTAAGGCAGGTGTGAAGAAATGCTGTAAAGTTAGGAAGCTTTCAAAAATATATATTTTTTCACTTTACAAAATGCAAAGTGAGTGATCAGAAGGAAACTCTAAATCAAATCAATATTTGGCATGACTACCCGTTGGCTTCAAACCAGCATCAATTCTTACATTT